CAGACCTCGAAAAATCTCCTCCCCCACAGGCTCCAAAGGTAGGTCAGAGCACTTGGTAATCACATGGCAGGTGGGATGATCAAAGAATTATATCTGCTGTTACATACACTAGTACACTCTGTTCTGGAGAAGTTTGTCTCCACTCTTGACTAGTTCACCTGTTCTCCTTCTAGACCATACATAGAAGCTGTGCTTTGAGTTCCCCAGACCTCTTCCTCCTTCACACACACACACACACACACACACACACACCCACTGAGTTAGGTAGCTCACTAGTAGCCTGTGATGTACTTCTTTGTACTATACCTAGTGTGGGTCACTTATTCATTTACTAGACTGGGCGCTGGGAATAAAAGATTCTTAGAACACACTCTTGTCCCCCAAATCCTTAGAGGAAACATGATTATGGTACCGTATGAAAGCACCCACTTTAGAGGTTGCACAGAGTACAGAGGGGAAAAGAGGGGTCAGCTCTGCTAGTGATGGGGTTGCAGTTCAAGGATTCACAGTAGATGAAGATGCAGTTCACCTGTGCTGTGTCACATCTTCCTTGTCAACCTGATGGACTCTCCTCCCCCTAGGGTGGTGCCAGGCTGTACATCATTGCACAGGGCATAGAGGGAGGCACATGGAGGAGAGAGTGCTTGGGAAAGGGTGTGTGGCCTTGACCAGCCACTGCTGACCTCAATCTCAGACCTGCAGATGGTGAATATCTCCCTGCGTGTGCTGTCTCGACCCAATGCTCAGGAGCTTCCTAGCATGTACCAGCGCCTAGGGCTAGACTACGAGGAACGAGTGTTGCCGTCCATTGTCAACGAGGTGCTCAAGAGTGTGGTGGCCAAGTTCAATGCCTCACAGCTGATCACCCAGCGTGCCCAGGTCTGACTTCCACCACTGTCTGCATGGTGTCAGCCTTTCCCTCCTAGGTCCAGGGTATTGGGAATTAGGAGAGGCAGCTTAGTAGAAAAGGATTGTCACCCTACTGCCATTTCCACCTAAAAGCCGTGCTAATTGCCACTGTGAAATAAGGAGAGCCAGCGTTAGAACTCTGTAGCACTCCGTGTTAGGAAGCATGGAGGGAAATGGCCAAGTCTTGGCTTTTCCTGCCTCTCTTTCAGCAGAGAGGCTTATGTTACAGGTTTGCCCGACAGGAAGCTAATGCAATTCGTATTGTATTGGGGAGAGTGAAGGATTAGGGGTCACTGTGAGCTGGAGCAGTCCTGTCATCTCTCTAAGGTGTCTCATTTGTTGCATGAGAAGATTGAATCAAGTCCCTTCCAACTCAGATGTTGTGGTAAGGCACTGAAGAAGGGTTGATGAGTGTTCTGCCATGCTCAGGGGACCCGGTGTTCAGAGGATCACACAACACAACCTTCCTTTCAGTTCTCCAGCACCCTCAAACCACCCTGCCCTTTCCCTCCTCACTCTTCCCCCCAGGTATCCCTGCTGATCCGCCGGGAGCTGACAGAGAGGGCCAAGGATTTCAGCCTCATCCTGGATGATGTAGCCATCACAGAACTGAGCTTTAGCCGAGAGTACACAGCTGCTGTAGAAGCTAAACAAGTCGGTGAGTCACAAGAGCAGTGGGGCGAGGGCTTCCGAGGTGCAGGAGGAGGAAAGACTCCATGAAGGGGGCTCCTGAGCCAGGACTGGGTCCACCTGACTCTCTCCCACCACAGCCCAGCAGGAGGCCCAGCGGGCCCAGTTCTTGGTAGAAAAAGCGAAGCAGGAACAGCGGCAGAAGATCGTGCAGGCCGAGGGTGAGGCCGAGGCTGCCAAGATGATATCTTTCTGCTGGAGAGATCTCAGCCCAGCCCATAGGGCACCTGCGTTCTCCATCCTCCTTCATGGGCAGGCTGATGAGACTAAGGCGAATGCGACTCCGTGCCCTCCAGCCCTTGGCTCCTTCTTGGGGGTGGGGACTGTAGATGAGATCTGAAATCTTGGTGGGGGTAGCCGAGGCCTGACTCCCCACTGTAAGGCCAGATCAATAGCATTGCTGGCCTTGCCTTCATTTCTGCTGCTGCCCCCAGTTCCTGGCAGCAGCCTACAGGGAGGCCCACAGGTGGGGTCCAAGGTAGGGCTGGGCACAAGTCACCTGAGCGCAACCTTGGATCTGACAGCCCAGAGGAGGACTGCAGCAAGGGAGTGTGGTAAGGATGGGGCCAGGGATTGAGGCCTGCCCTTGTGTGAACCTTAACTCTACTCACCTTGGAGAAGCTCTGAGCAAGAACCCTGGCTACATCAAACTTCGCAAGATCCGGGCAGCCCAGAATATCTCCAAGACGGTGAGTGTGTCAGCCCAGCATCTCTGACGGGGCTGCCTTGTGAGAGAAAGTGCTTTCAGTTAAGGCACATTGAAGTGAGGAAATTCGAATCTTGCTTATTCGGGTTTCTACTCAGATTGGCTTCTCTGGCCGGGTGCCGTGGCTTATGCCTGTAATCCCAGCACTTTGGGAGGCCAAGGCCGGCAGATCACCTGAGGTCAGGAGTACAAGACCTCCCTGGCCAACATGGTGAAACCCCATCTCTACTAAAAGTACGCAAAAAAAAATGAGCCAGGCGTGGTGGCATGCAGCTATAATCCCAGCTAGCTACTCAGGAGGCTGTGGCAGGAGAATCACTTGAACCTGGGAGGCAGAGGTTGTAGTGAGCTGAGATGGTGCCACTGTACTCCAGCCTCAGCGACAGGGCAAGACTGTCTTTAAAAAAAAAAAAAAAAAAAAAAAATTGGCTTCTCTGCATCTTTTCCCCTCATCAAGAACGATTCCTCTGGGCTCCCTAACCTTTTGTTCTTGCCCCTTTTATGGTGCTAATGATCATAGCAGCTGCTCACTGCTCTGGATCCCTGAATAAGAGCAGAAACCATGTCTTACTCATTGCTGTATCCCTGCCCCAGCCCACATGTGTTCCATTAAGTGGCTACTGAATTGCAGAGGCCAGAATTGAGGCCTTTGCTTAATGTAAGCATCTGTCTTATTTCCCGCCCTGTAGATCGCCACATCACAGAATCGCATCTATCTCACTGCTGACAACCTTGTGCTGAATCTACAGGATGAAAGTTTCACCCGGTGAGAGATGCGACACAGTGGGGCGTCACAAGGAACGTGGGACTTGAGTGGTTGCTTGGGCTCTGGAGCCTGCTACAGCTGTTCATATGGCCCTGAGAGACTCTGAACCAAAATTAGAAAAGGAGGTGGTTGGCAGTTTTTATCTTGCATCTCATAGGATTGAGTTTATGAGATCAAACAGGATTATTCACATAAGAAGCACTTTAATTGTAAAGTTTTTACCTAACCGAGAAGTGATGAAAGATGGTACTCAGTTTTCTTACTCAAGAGCCCTAAAACTGCTCAGGTGCATGGAGGGATGTTAGGGAAGGAGACGAAAAATAGCAGTGGCCATGAGAACCCGCCGCCTGGTTTCATGAGCCCGAGATTCCTGGCCGCCAGCCCTGTTTGTCTTTTCTCCTGGGAGCAAAGGAGGGTTCAAAGCTGTGTGGGGCCTGAAGCTGTCAATTAACATGTGCATTTCTCTTCTCTGTTTCCTGTTCATCTGGTGATCTGGCACCACAGAGGAAGGTAAGTTGTTGCTGCATCCTTGTTCCTGTGGGGTCCTGCAGGCCACCTTCTCCCAACACCTGCTTTCTACCCCGCTGCCTTTCCCACCTCCCCACAGACAAACCCTCAGTGGGGCAGGAGGGTCGTGGAGGGAATGGCCTAGCGTCCTGCCTCTCACATTTATGTCCACTAATAATGTCATCATCTGTCTTTCCTACAGTGACAGCCTCATCAAGGGTAAGAAATGAACCTAGTCACCGAGAACTCCATCCCCAGAGGAAGTGGATCTGCTTCTCCTGTTTTTGAGGAGCCAGCCTGGGGTCCAGCACAGCCCTACCCCACCCCAGTATCATGCGATGGTCCCCCGCACCCGTCCCCCAAACCCCTCTTGATTAAGGAAGACTGAAGACCACCCCCTTTTCTGGGAAATTACTTTCCTCCTCCCTGTGTCGGCCGGGGATGTTGGGACAGTGTGTGATTTCTCAGTGATTTCCTACAGTGTTGTTCCCTCCCTCAAGGCTGGGAGGAGATAACCACCAACCCAGGAATTCTCAATAAATTTTTATTACTTAAGCTCAAGTCAAGGCTTCACATGTTCATGAGCAGCACGCATGCGCAGTTACATAGGTACGGCTGGGGCTGTCTTTGTGTCTGCCAGCAGAGGGCGCAAAAGACTCTGGCTGGGGCAGCTAAGGGGAAGCAGGGCCTGGGGTCTAGAGGCCCAGCTGCGCTCTTCACCCCACCTTCCATTTCTCTCACATCGCCCATTTTTTTAGGGCTGGAGCAGCTGTGGCTTTGCTGAGCCAGATTAAAAATCCGATGACCCCAACAGGAGCTGCTTCCTTGGTAGCAGGGTTCCATGTGGCTCTGGGGAGCCTGCCTGTGCCTGTGGAGGGGCTTCTGTGCCTAGAAGCCCAGTGGATCGCATGGCCTGATGTAGGCCACCAGACTCCATTTATGTCACCAGGCGTGAGGAGCTACTTGGCTAGCAGAGCTCTGTGGAGGTGGGCTTGTCACTCCCTCAGCTCTGGGGCCAACAGAACAGGTGCCTGTTGAGTCCACAGATAAGCGGACACTTCTTCCCAAGACAGCCCTTCCTGAATCTCAAGCACCAGAGAAACAAAGTCACCGTTTATACCTGAGTCTCCCACTACTGCCCACTTCCCTTCCCTACGGGGAGACAAGGAAAGTTTAGAACTCTAAGACGAAACCTGGGGGCAAAGTATGTACAGGAACTACCAAATGCCGATAGGGCAGCAGGTGGATCTGAACTTAATTAAGGACTGAGTTAATCTGCCTCGATTTTTAGGATGTTTTCCTCTGCTTAGGGTTGAGTTTCATGAAAGACAAGCAGATACGGCAGCCCCAGTCCTGAGTTACTGTGCGGCTGAGATCAACAATAGGACAAAAGACGGGTCGAGTGACCTGGATCAACCTTCCTCATGTTCCTAGTCACACTTTATTTATTTCATGTTCCCAAGGCGGGAAGTCAATGGAGGTGCCTGCGGAACCCGTGTTTGCAAATCTTGCTGCAGCTGTAGAGGCAGCCATTTTGTCTCCTTCCCATTGTTCCCCTTTGCCTAGTGATCCGTCCCCCATCCGGAGGGGTAAAGGTCAGAGGTCGTTGGTCAGTAGGCCTCCATGGTCTTCAGGGCTCCCTGAAAGTCACTGCCGAAAGATCCGACCCGGGGGCCATCTTTACCAGACAGTGTTAGGAGCTTTGCAATTAGACCATCCAACACTGTACTGGAAGATGGACCCAGGGCCGGCCAATGGAGAACTACGGCGAGAATGCTCCAGCTGCTGCAGGGACCCTGGCCACAGGCCAGGTGAGGTCTCCCGAGGGGGGCGAGCCAATCCCAAGCTCAAGGTCGACTGTGGATCCACTAGGTGACAAATCGCACTGGGTGGGAGGAGGGGCCGGGGCCCATTGTGTCCCTGAGTGGCAGCCAGCCAACGAGAGCCACCCCTGGTGCCGCACTCTCAGCTCCAGACAAGGGGCTTCTGAGGGGCGTGGGAAGTGGGGAGGGGGCTGCAGCCAGCTAAGGCCGGGGCACCTGACTCGGTGGATGTCGCTGACACAGGGACAGGGGCCTCCATCATTACCCGGCAGTATTAGAGACTCCCAACCGCACCCAAACACTGCTGGGTAAGACGAGGGCCCCCACCCAGCCTGCCCACCTTGGGTCAGGAAGCTTCAGGCCCAGGTCCCCTGCGGAGAAGCTGCAGATCCCTGGCTCCCATCCCCCCCCACCACCCGAGTCCCTGGGGACACTTCCGGGTAAGCCTGCTGCCCGCCACCAGCCCCACCCTGGGTCGCTGGTCGCTAGGCCCAGGCTGCGGCCCAAGCAGGCCTTCTGCAGCCCCTCAACCATCGGCGCCCCCCGCCCCGAGCCACCTTCCTCCACCCCCGAAGTCTGCCCCTACCCGAAGCACACACTGACTCACCCACCCTCATCCACCCTCTGCAGTCCCTAGCTCAGCCCAGGACCCCTCCCCTGGTGGCCTTTACCTGTCACCGGGCCCGCCTGCCCCCAGAGAGTGGGTGCCAGGGAGACGAAGGGGCTTTGAGGCCCCAGATTCAACGGCCTAGAGCCCGCCCCGGCCTCCTCTCTTTCTCCTTCCTTCTCCGCCTGCCCAGCAGCGCAGGCTCCTTACCTGGGCCCCGCCTGCCGCCCTGCGCACAGGTGTGTCCTCCTGCCATAGGCTGCCCCCCCACCGCCTTAACCCCTTCCCTCCCAGCATCAGTCACAGGCACCTCCTCTACGGCCTCGCCACCCCAATAGGCCTCCCACCCTCTCCCAGAGCCTCTTTTTTCCTACCTGCCTATTCTCACCCCTATCTCCAGAGGAACAAAGGGAGGGGCTGTCCTCGGGTCCCCTCCCCATGGCATCTGCTGCCTTCAGGCCTAGCTCCCTCCTCTGCGACCTCAGACCCTGCCCACAGCGGAGCTGGAAGACCAGAGAGATCCTTGAGGTCAGCGAGGGGTCAGCCGGGCAGGAGTGGGACTGCTGCCGCAGTGCCCAGCCTGTGCTAGGATCCCGTGAGGGACAGGGGCGGAGGAGACCCCACCAGGCCTGTGAAGGGCAGGTGGGTCCCAGCAGGGTGCCCCTAGTGTGGAGGTACCCACCGCTATCCAGAGACCCCAGCCGGCCGGAGCCTCAGCCCTGCCCCTCGGTGGGGGCCTGCAGAGGGAATGATCTCGCTCCTCTCCCGACCAAACTGCTCCCGGACCCACCTCACAGCACAGCCTCACTGGAGTCCAAGTCCCACCCCAAGGGCAGGTAGCCCAAGGGCGGTTAGAGGAGGTGGGACTTGCCTTTGTGCAGCTGGGATGGAAAGGGCGTTGCTGGGAGAGGGGCCCTGAGCCCGACAGGTGATTGCCCCACCCACGCCCCAGGGCCACAGCCCCAGGGAGCTATTGTGTTGCTCAGTCCCTAGCTGCTCTCTCTCTCCGTCTTTGTTTGCTTCCTTCTTAATACCGGCCTGCAATTATTTGATGCAGGTGATCGGTGTGTGAATCTGTCTCCCTGACCAGACCCCTAAGTTCCAGGAGGCCAGGGGACTGTGAATGGCGGTGGTGCCAGGGGCTCTCTAAGAAGGATTTGCTGAATAATGCTTGCCCAGCCTCTGGGCTTCCGGACCTGTGCGGCCTCAGCCTTTCCAGGAGTGGGTGCCAGCCCTTCCTGAGGGATGACTCGCACCGGCTCCACTCCCCAGGACATGAGTGTTTCAAATGAAGGAGAAACCCCACTCCCGACACAGCACGGGGGGAGGAACAGGGGACCAGCAAACAAAGCAATCTTCAAGTCTGCCAGCTCTTCAAACTCTACCCCGGACGGGCAGCCGCCGCCTGGGTGCGGGGAGGAGCTGGGTGCACTGAGAGCCTGTCCCCGTCCCCGTTCCCCCTGAGGGGACGCAGTGGGGCTTGCCTCAGGTCTGTGCTTCTGGCTAACTACTTTTCTTAGTTCGGATCTGGAAGTCAGCATCAGGGGAGTGTGATGGGGGCCCTGAGGGCGGCAGCTGCAACTCCAGGGTAAGGAGTATGGGCTCTGGGCTCAGAAGGCCTGGGTTCAAATCCCAGCTTCACTGCTGCGTAGTCCTGTGACCTTGGGCAAGCGACCAAGTTACTTAGTCTCTCTGTGCCTCAGTTTCCTGCACCGTAAAATGAGAATGACAGAAGTGCCTAGGCTGATCTAACGTGTGTAGCCTCTCCGTGCCTGGACACATGGCAAGCGTGTGATGAGTCACTGTGCCCGTCTTATCACCAGCCATCATCTTGTGCTTTTCACAACCACCCTATTATGATCGCCCTCCATTTTAAAGAAGGAAACTGGGAGCTTCGTCCACAGTCACCCTCCCACGTGTGCGGCGGAGTCCGGACCCACGGCCGTCTGACGGGAGGCGGAGCCCACTCACTGGGCAAGCAAAGCGCTCGGTTAGAGGCGACACACAATCCCAGGCCTTTATTTACAAGAGGAGAAGGGCTGGCCTGACTGGGGCCTGGCTGGGCTATGTACAGAATCAGGGAGAGGTGTGACGGATGCAGCCATTTAAATTACAACAGAATGGGGCGCTCCTAGGTTCAGGTTGTGGGTCTGTCCACTGTGGGAGGCTTCCGCAAGGTCTGGGCTGAGGCTGCCAAGAGAAGGAGTTAGGGAGTGAGAGGGTGGCTGGAACCTGGAGGGGAACAAGGTCTGGGGCAGCTGGGAAGGGCAGAGTGAAGCTGCAGCCACCCCATGCACCCAGGGAAGGCAGTGGGGCAGAGCAGGGAGGACAGCCAGGGAGAAGAGTTGCACCACGGCCACCTGAGCACGGCGCCCGCTCACTTCCTCTTGAGAGAACCCTTGCTCTTCTCCTTGTCTGCTGACCGCTGCTTCTTCACTTTCTCCTCCCGCTTGTTCTTCCCGTGCAGGTTCTCATACACGTCCTCCTTGTGTCTGCAGCGGGGTGCAGGGGGCAAGCACAGGCGGGGGGCACAGGTCAGGAGACAGCACGGGGGACCTGGCAGTGGCAGCCCCCACTGGCTGCCCCATCTCACAGGTGGCCCAGCCACTGTCCCTGCACTAGACTCCAAGTTCTTTGAGGTCAGAGGCTACATCTCATACACAAGTGCACTGCTGCTACCTAGCACAGGCCCACACGCGGTGGGCACTCTGGAATTGCTTATGAACAGAAGGGGTGAGAACCAAGCTTGAACTTGAAGCCAGGTCCCCCCAGCTGCAACACGTCCTCTCCAGAAATCGAGGATCGGGCTGGGCAGGACAAAGGGGTAGATGCCGGGAGGTGGCAGTCAGGGCCACTCACTTGGATGAGGTGCGGGAGGCCTTGGCATGGGTGTTCTTCATGGCTGGGGGGTAGGTGATGTTCCCGTACTCCGACTCCTGGCCCTTCTGTGACTGTGGGCAGAGGGATAGTAGGAGGGTGGTGGTCCCAGCAAGGCCAGGTGGTACCCATCCCCGCTGCAGCCCCCAGGCCCTGCTCTGCACGCACCTGCAAGACCTCCAGCTTCTTCTTGGTGGTTTCAATGAACTGGGCGATGGCCACGTAGATGAACTTGTACTGCGCCTCCGTCTGCACCATGCCCGAGCGCTGAGCCCGCACCATCTGGATGGTCTTCTGGATGTCAATGTCACAGTCCAGGCCTGGGTGGGGGCAGTCATACCTCAGGCCCAGGCACCGGTAGACACCGAGGGGCTGCTCACCCCTGCCCCCAAGCCCCCAGTGCCCCTCACCTTTGGTGGAGATGTTCTCCATGAGCATGTCAATGACAATGATGGTACCTGTGCGGCCAATGCCCGCGCTGAGGAGAGACGGGGGGGCCATCAGAAGCCAGTCAAACCCTTCCTGGGAAGGGAGGTGACCAGTGTTCAGCTCCACCCCCGGGCACTGCAGGAGCAGCCTGAGCCTCCAGTAACAGAAGGAAATGTGCCCAGTGTCACTGGGCAAGTGACAATGAAGATTTGCCCGACTCTGCATGGGCGCGCTCCACTTCTGGCTCTGCGGTGCTGATGCCAGCTTCCCAGATGCCACCATCCTTCCCTCCTCCCACTCCCTGCACCGAATCCTCGCTCCCGGTGAGCAGCTGCCCCCTCCCCGAAAGACATGGGACCCCCAAATCCCACCACTGTCCTGCTGGCTCCCGGGCACCCTGAGCCCTCCCCGCCTCTCCCTTCAAGAGTTAGGGAGCTCCAGCTGGGTGCGGTGGCTCACACTGGTAATCCCAGCACTTTGGGAGGCCAAGGCAGATAGATCAAGAGGTCAGGAGTTCGAGACCAGCCTGACCAACATGGTGAAACCTTGTCTCTACTGAAAATACAAAAATTAGCTGGGCGTGGTGGCGTGCACCTGTAGTCCCAGTTACTCAGGAGGCTGAGGCAGGAGAATCACTTGAACCTGGAAGGCAGAGGTTGCAGTGGGCAGAGATCACGCCACTGCACTCCAGCCTGGGCACCAAGAGTGAGACTCTGTCTCAAAAAAAAAAAAAGTTATGGAGCTTCTCTCTGCAGGGGTTTACTTCCCTTTTTCTTCAGACACTGACAGCTGGGAAAGGGTAGCCCAGAGACAGGGTGCAGGGGCGCCGGGTCGGGGACTCAGGGGAGCAGTGCAGTAGGAAGTTTCTCTCCTTCCCACCCCTGGGCAAGCAGACCCCAGGGAGACCCCAGGCCCACCCTCAGCTGGGCCCATCAGGCTGGTGCCCTGAGTCGCACTGTCTAATTTCAAACCCAGATTGTCAAAAATAACCCCCCTTCACCCACTTCCTTCCTGTAACGTCTAAATAAAGGCCATGGGGCTTTCAAGAAGTGTGTGAATGTACATGCGGCGGGTGAGCAGGAGGGTAGCTCTCGGGGATAGACCTGTCCCTGAGAGAGCAGAGGACAGAGCTGCGGCCCCGAGACAGCCCATCAGGGGCAGCTCTAGATTCAGCCAACTGGCCCTGTCTCATGGACAAACAGCTGCTGGGGGGAAGAGGAGGAAGCCAGAGGCCATCAAAGGCCTGGGGTCCACGGAGGGAGAGTGAAGGGGCCGGGCAAGGCAGGTTCCTGTTTCCCCCATTCTCTGCCTGGCATGAGTATAAACCAGTAGCAGTGCCAGTGTTTGAGGGCTGATGGAATTCCAGCCACAGCCATAGGGCCTCACGACAACCCTGAGATCCTGGCTTTACAGATGAGGAAGCTGAGGGTCAGAAAAGTTAAGCAATTTATCCAAGATCACACAGCTGGTGAGCGGAGGGGCCCTGCACCCCCTGCCTCTCTTCCACTTAGGCCAGGCCAGCATGGTGGGCTCATTGGTGGGACCCCTGCTTCTCGCAGCCCCACCTCTGCACCTTACAGGGGTCTCCTGATCACAGACACGAGGGTAGATAGAGGAGCTGTGTGTACCCCCATCCCCATACAGCCCTGGGGGCCGGGATGGGGAACCGCCAGGGAAAGGGGGAGAGAAGGCGGAGTCAGGAAGAAGCCTAAACCCTGGGGCTACGGATGGAAAAAGGAGGAATGGGGAGCACAGGCCCGATGGATATTCCTGGGAGGCGAGAAGAGACCAGCAGAGTGGGACCTCGAGAGACAGCAGGGCAGCCGGGACCCAGGCCTAGCCCGACCTCACCCTGACTAGCTGGGGCCTG